TGACCAACCTTACATCTCTGTATTGGCATGTTATAGAAAGCTGCTGGTCTGTGATGTTTTTGAGTCACTGCCTGAGCACAAGCAAGAAGCCTTCAAAAAACTTATGGATATATTTGGTACGAGTGTTCCGCCATACCGAACCCCGACCAAGCGGAAGTATCCAGGAAATTCTCCGGTGAGTGAATAACATGGCGTCTCTGTTTTACTTGATGACTTCGGCTTTCTTTATCATGCAAATTTAGGGATACTATCCTGATGGAGAGAGTGGTTCGGTGAGCCCTCGACAAGGATCTCAAAAGTCGGCTCGATCCGTAACCTTTGGTGTGTCGCTTTTGCTGTAAGATTCTTACCATGCTATGGAGAAAAGTACTCGTTCAGATTCACGGTTCACTGATCAGCCAAGATACGTAGTCACAAACCCGTCATCAAGCAATGCTAGAGTCATGGCCATGATCCCGTTCGAAGAAAAAGCAAACGCTGAGGCTCCAAGTCGAGTTGATCCTGGCGAGATGCCTGAGTTGTTGCAGGGCGACCTGAATGAGAGCGAAAAGTCGTTGGATCCGCATGATGTTGATGAGGTAAACCTTTCCCTCCTATAAAAAATCAGGTCGCTTGCAAAAGTCAGTTTTCATTGAGTAGATATGCTGTTGTAAAATTAGCCAATTAAATTTGGTTTTAGGCAGGTGAAGTCGATATTGAAACGTACGAAGAGGATAGTTCGCGAGATCATCGCAAATCAACACTATGGGTAGATAACAAAGGGAGAGTTGTTGATGTGAGTAATCTACCTGGTGGTGGGCAAACCACAATAATATATCCGGAGATGCGACGCGAGGTGTACGGGACGTCTGACCTTCGCTCCCTTTCGGCTTCCCATCCCAAAGAGGTGCTCTGATTTCCCTAAATGGAACGTTTTTGATTGCCATCGTTTCAGACTCAGGATGAACGATTTTGTCCATCATGTAGAATGACGATGAAACGCTCGATATTCTATCATCATGGACGTCTTATCCGTAAATATGGACGGTGCGACATCTTCACACCAAAGCGTTTCCCTTGCGGTTCCCCTGGGGTATGTTTGTCTTTTTACTATTTTGACTTCCTTAGTCTTGTAAGTTTCGCGAATTGTCGTACTTTTGTGCATCTTGTTTGCCGAATTATTTTTCTCACACAATGAACCTTCCTAGTTTCTTAGCAGAAAATCTCGATTTTAGTGCCATGAAAGACTCGGGACTTTGGAGCGACTCTGCGAGCATATGTATCAAGTTCATAGAGCTCCCACGGACATAAAACGACGAGTTTTCGATAATGAGGCACAATTTGAGGTATACTGCTCTTACTACGTTATGGTGTTATGAGAAATATTCCACAGGAGTTCTTACGCGAACTGGAAAGTCGGGGTGGGAATTTCCGAATGTCTCGCGGCAACAAAACCATCAAAGAAGGAATTGTGCAGTATTTCCGCTGCAACAGAATCTTTTCAATAGCTAAGGATAAAGCACTGAGAATTGTTGACGACATAAATGTGAGTAAGATGTTGAAGAACTTTTTTCTCAAGGTAAAACATCGTCAGGCTGGCACCTATGAGGCTGTGAAGGATATCACTCAGCCAATGGATCCCTTTGGCAAAGAAACCAGCACAAAACCGTATCTGAGGACCGAAGAAGCATGCACAGCGTTCTTTAGAAAAACTTACCTGAATGACGGGTTCGTTAAGTATCATTCCATCCGTAGGTTCTGCAGCAGCTCTTTTCAGTACCATAGAAGTTCGCTACTGTGACTATCACTTGCATGG